TTTTGCCCAAACGTTCTTCCTTTCGGCTATTTTTCTCTAAAGCTTCTTTCTGAGCTTTCTTGATGCTTTCTACAATCGTTGAGACAACTTCGATTCTTAATGCTCTTGGCCTTTTTTTTCAAGGCTCACTTTTCTGCTTAAAGCATCAGCTACAACATTTGCTTTACCAGGGTGGTAAAGTATTTCACAGTCGTAATCCTTAAGCAACTCTAGCCAGCGTCGTTGTCTCATATTCAATTCCTTTTGATTAAAGAGATACTGAAGACTCTTATGATCAGTGAAAAGTTTGCATTTTGTGCCATAAAGATAATGCCTCCATATCTTTAGGGAAAATATTACCGCTGCCAACTCCAGATCATGAGTGTGGTAGTTCTTTTCATGTTCTTTCAATTGTCTCGATGCATATGCTATCACCTTATCCTTTTGAGTCAGAACACAACCTAACCTAACTCCAGATGCATCGCTATAAACTGAGAAGTCTTCAAATCCATCAGGTAAAGAAAGAATCGGTGCTTCACACAACTTCTTCTTTAGCTTCTCAAATGCTTCTTCATGCTTCTCACTCCAAGTATAAGTAGCTCCTTTGTGGGTCAAAGCTGTCAATGGAGCAGCTATCGAAGAAAAGCCTTGGATAAATCTTCGGTAATATCCAGCTAATCCCAGAAAGCTTCAGATCTCCGTGGGACTCTTTGGTTGTTCCCACTTTATTATAGCTTCAATCTTAGTTGGGTCAACCATAATCCTTTCTTGGTTAACCACATGACCCAAAAATTGGACTTCTTGAATCCAAAAATCACATTTGGAGAACTGTGCATACAACTTCTCCTTTTTCAGAACTTCTAAAACTTCTCGCAGATGCTTATCATGCTCCTGCTTGCTTTTTGAATAAATCAAAATGTCATCTATGAACACTATCACGGATTTATCGAGGAATGGTTTACAAACCCTATTCATCAAATCCATGAATACTGCTGGAGCATTGGTTAGTCCAAAAAACATAACCAAGAACTCATAGTGTCCATATCTTGTTATGAATGCAGTCTTCTCAATAACCTGCTCTCCCACCTTTAACTGATGATATCCTGACCTAAGATCAATCTTCGAGAAATAGCTCGAACCTTTCAGCTGATCGAACATGTCATCAATCCTTGGCAATGGGTACTTGTTCTTTATTGTTGCCTTATTCAGCTCTCTGTAGTCTATGCACATTCTCATGCTTCCATCTTTCCTCTTTACAAATAACATCGGAGCTCCCCAGGGTGATGAACTTGGTCTAATGAAACCGTTGTCCAACAACTCCTGAAGTTGCGTCATGAGCTCCTTCATCTCCGTCAGTGCTAATCGGTATGGTGCTTTTGCTATCGGTGTTGTTCCTGGTAACAAGTCTATTCGAAACTCTACTTGTCTATCAGGGGGCAATCCAGGAAGATTTTCGGGAAAAACTTCCGGATAGTCACAGACCACTGGTATACTTTGCATATCCTTTTCTCCTTTTTGGCATCAATTACGAACGCCAAGTATGATGTGCATCCTTTAGACAAACATTTTCCGGCCTTCATCAGGGAAATGATTCCAGAATGACTCTTTTCCATGCGGGTTTACCCTCACTATCTTTTTCTTGCACAGTATCTCGGCATCATTGGCGCTAAGCCAATCCATCCCCAGTACGATGTCGAAACCATTCAACTCAATGGGTAACAGCTCATCGAGGAATTCGTTTCCGTTCAAGTCGATGACGATATTCTTATTGCAATTGCTAACAGGTATGAATTTGCCACTAGCAACTTCTACAATTAGGGCATCATCAAGTTTTTCTATAGGCAATGCTAGTCTTTCATCAAATTTATGTGATATAAAGGAGTAAGCCGCTCCGGAATCAAACAATAAATTGACAGGCAATCCATTTACAAGAAAGGTACCTGAAGCGACATCCGCTACATCCTTTGCGGCTTCCAATGTCATCTGGAAAGCTCTGGCTTTTGGCTTTGGTAGGAGATTGGGTTTCGCTGCCTCTTTCTTCTTTAGGCAGTCCTTCAAAATGTGCCCTTCTTCGTTGCACCCATAACAGACTTTCTAATTGAAGGTACATTCATTGGCATAATGCCCAGGCTTTCCACATTTAAAACAAGTGACTTCCTCGCCACATTTCCCAACATGTTTCTTTTTACATTTGTCACACCATTTAGCTTCGGCTCCTCCTCCAAATTTCCTCGAACCAGACTTTGAGAATTTTCTCTTCTTGTTGGAACCTGAAGTTCCTTCAAACTTTCTCTTTTCGCCAACTTCAACCTTGCTGGCGGCTCTTCCTTTAATCATATCTTCAACAGACTTGGCAGCCCAGATAGCTTCCTCCAGAGTAAGTGCCTAACGCACTGGCACCGCGTACTCCCATGGAAGTCCCTTTGCGTACCTGTCGATTTTTGTCAGCTCGTCTGGAACAATACGCAAAGCAAACTCCATTTTATCTGTGAAGTTATTAGTGTATTCATCGATAAACATGCTTCCCTTCTTCAATGTCAGAAATTGGTTCTCTAGCTCAAGCAGATTTTGGGCCGAGCAGTACTTGTGCTTGAAATGCATCAAGGACTCTGCCCAAGTCAGTTGCAGTGGCTCATTAGGGCTTAGGGTCTTCCCCTAAGTGTTCCACCAGTGAACATCGCCACCTCTGAACTGACGCACTGCAAATGTGGTTTGTAACTTGCCTTGGCAACCACATGTCATGAAGGTTAATTCCATCTCCGAGATCCAATCCATTACTTCGACGGGATCTTCCTTTCCAGTGAAAGTTGACGGCTTGCAAGTCATAAAGTCTTTGTACTTGCATCCATTTCTCTCGACTCCATCCTCTTGGTTATTCCTGCTAACCACAAGTGGTTCAGTTTGACCAAAAGATCTACTGTAATTTCCTTCCTCTGATTGATCGTCATTTAGGTCAGGTTGTTCAACAGGCATTGAAGGTTCATTCCTGTTGTTCAGCAATAGTTGTCTCATTTTTTCCCTTTGTTCAGCCATCATAACCTAAATCATGGCTTGTACTCCAGCCATTGTGATTGGTTCTGGTGTAACTTCTGCTATAGGCACCTGTTCCATCACTTGGGGTTGAGGTTGCAGATTTCTATTTGCATTTCCATCTCCACTTCGGGTTCTTGCCATTTTGATCTATACATCAAATTAGGCGAATTTAGATCTTTATTCACGATACACATTTAAATCTTCATTATCACTCCGAAACGTTACATGCTAGTTCTAATATCGTAGTCATACGCTTAGAATCTTGAGCACATAAGGTTTCCAGATCCGGTCGGCAACAGACCATAGATCCGAACAAATAATATAATATATGGCAAACATATAACATTTAGCACATAAAAGCATTTTAGGCATCTTTCCTAAAATATACTAGTGCTCGTGTCTAAAATATGGTAGACACTCATCTCACGATCATCACTTAGCATTATAAGTTTAAGTCTAGAAATCCTACAAATTCCTAGTTCGCTTAAACTAATGCTCTGATACCAACTGTGACATCCCCATTTTTACGGCCAGAAAAGACTGATTTCGTTTATGATTTTATAATAAAATGAGAGTAATCTTTCAAAAAAAAGTGTTGCGAAATTTGTTCCCAAAACAAAAATATGATAAAATTTATCAAAGCATTTCTTAAAGAAATGTATTTTCATTATATTACAAAACCTGGGATGTCGTCATCGATACAAAACAAAAGCATAACAGTACAATATAGACCTTACAACATTTATTTACATCTACTGACCTATAATCCAAAATCCATCGTCAAGTCATCCAACTATGCTTTTGTTCCACTACCTGTAATACAGAAAGCTGAGTGGGTCAGGTTTGGGAGCCTGGTGAGCACATAGGGTTTTCAACCCACAATAAATAACTTTATTAATTTCATCAACCAAAAATAACCCTGATTACCTGTTCCCGTTATCCTCATTTTACGTCCCTAAACACCTATCGTAAGGGACCTAGCATAAGGATCATCATCGGGATGAACACTACTGCTAAGGGGATTCTTCAGCCATATATGTCCGTAAGGCAACCATGAGGGGGATGGAGTACACCGGTGAACATATCGTTCACAAACACCTACAGGTTGCGAGCCTGCTAGCGTTCCACTGGACTGTCTAGAAAGGTCCGTGGTCGTCATCTATACTCCGCTAGATGACTGAAACAACAACAACATCGATGCCTCTCTTCATTTTATTACACATCAATTATTTCATCTACCCATGTTTTACCCAAACATATTTGTAGATAAAAATACATATACAGTTTAAATCATTCTAAACATGTATAAAACATTCATTCAACATCCATCTCAAATAAACAAACAATATATATACACATAGCACATATTTTATATAAAATACTCCATATCTATGTGTAAGATGAAAGTGACTATACACTCACTTGATTTGACGATAATTGGACAACACTTCGTCCCTTAAAACAATCTTTTTCGAAGAAACCGAGATGTTTTCTCAAAAACCGGGGGCTTCACGCGGGCAGAGTTTCGACTCGATAAAGATTTAATATAGTTATATTTATATGTTTGTGATATTTTAGATACAATGTAAAAAATCATCGGGTTTATATAACATTTTAAACAGCTGATGATATATTAATTATTTTTTTTGAAAAAGATATTATAACAAATTTACTATTGAAAATATAATATAATTAAAGATTAAAATTAGTTGAACGATAAGTCTCCCAATTTTTTATTAAGTAATAAGATGGTTTTAACATTGATGATGTTTTAAGTCCCATTGTAGACGAAAATCATTTTTAATGTTTTAGTTTTATTTTCGTAATATATGTGACGAAAGAATGACGATCCATTAAAATAAGAACGGTCACGTGACCAACGGATAAATAATCACCGACACCTGTTCCGTAATATCAGAAAAATACGATCCGCATTACTCTCTTTTCACACTTCGATCACCATCAATCTCTGTGCAGTGCTTTCTGCCATGAAATCTTCACCAAGAACCCGATTGTACTCTTCCTCTTCATCCTACTCCGCCGACACCACCACCACCACCACCACCACCACCGTCACTTACGCCTTCGAAGATAACAATTTTAACGCTAATCCCCAAACCACTTCCACCGAAATCCCTATCACTTTTCACCTCTCCGATCGTCAATCCACCGCTGCTATTAAGATTCAATCAGCTTACAGATCTCATGCAATCCGCAACTTAATCAACAAGGTAAGAGCCGTCGATTCCCAAGCCGATAAACTACAACGACTGATCCAAATGCAGGATACAGTTGATGCGGTGCGAAGCAACAATCGGGAACGAATCAAGATCAATGAGGCGTTGATGAAGTTATTATTTACGCTTGATTCGGTTCCTGGGATTGACCCGACAGTGAGAGAATTCAGGAGAAGTGTTAGTCGACGGATCGTTGGGTTGCAGGAGATCTTAGACTCTATATGTGAAGCAAGAGAGACGAATTGGGATGGGTTTTTGAGGGATTGGGACGACGTAATTGTGGGGATCGAACAAGAGATTTGTAGAGAGAAAGGCGGATCTGATGTTCATGAATTTGAGAGATTTTGCGCAGAGCATCTAGGGTTTCAGTGCTTACAGAGATTTCTTCGTCAATGAGGCACAGGTGATGTTTATTTTGATTCAGTTTCTACAAATTGAATTAAAATCTATTTGGCACATCAATATTTTAAACTTACAGATGAATACATGATAATAAAAAAAACAACTCCAACTCCCTCGATTAACTTCCCCTGTTGTTATCCTGCTATAGAATTTACATGTATCATGCCATTATCCAATAGAAGTTGTAAGAACTTAGAAGGTTTATATAACATAGCTTATATCCTCAGACAAAGTTTTTGTGTAGTCAGAAGCTTTTTGATTGCGACTTTTGGATTTTGAGAAGTCCCAAATTCTTGGGGTATGTAATAAATCATATAGGAATTAGGGTAGATATGATAAAGATAAAGACAATGATGCAATCCAATGTCCAAAACTTTAAAGACTTTCATAAATTCTGGTTTCTTGAACAAAAGGAATTTTATCATATATTTGGATGATTATTAATGTAAGAAGGTGAGGTCATACTACATGCATAACAAATATTAGGATGTATACTAATATGCACCAAGGTGAGGCAATAATATATGCATCATGATGATTTAGAAACATTAAAGAATGTAATTAACTGACACATGATTTCATATTGGTTGAAATATATGTGTATTGAGATTATGTTGCTGAAAATACTAGGGACATAATTAGTCGGAAATGAAGATATGAAATTAAATTGTCCTAGAACCTATGGGTTGTGTTCGTATCCATGTGTAAGTAAATTCATATGTAAGTGAATGTGTATACATGTGTATGTGTATGTATATGTGTATGTATTCATATATGTATGCATGTGCATATAAATTCATGTGTACGTATATATGTATGTGTATGTGTATGCAGCTATGCATGCATGTGTATATGTATATATATGCATATGTATGTGTATGCATTTGTATTTGCATATGTATTCATGTGTATGTTTATGCGTGTATGTGTAAGGTATGTGTATGCATGCATGTGTATGCTTATGCATGTTTTAAGTATGCAGGAAATGGATAGTTTAGGTAAAAAGGACCAAAATGAAAGAAAAAAATAAAGTTGAAGGACCCCTTGTGGAGACAAAAAAAATTCCAGACAAAAATGACAAAAATGAGACGGTTTTTTCAACTTTTCCTATTACAAAATGACAAACAAAAATGAGCCGTTTCTTTCAACTTTTCCTTTCAACTTTTCCTATTACAAAATGACAAACAACTGGTGAACTTGAAGTAGTTAAAGAACCAAATTGAAACAAAAAAAAAGTTTTAGAATCCCTATGGACAAATTTAGGACCGAAATGGGATTGAGGCAATAGTTCCTTGGAGATTTTCAACTTTTCCCGTTAAAAAAAGGTTCACACTCTAAAGAATTTTTAGTCGAACTTCCCTAAAGTAGCGTAATGTATAATTTCATGTTAAAAAGAAGAGAAATCTCTTAAAAATTCTAATATTTTGGGTCATTTTACGGTTTAATCTGAAATTAAATTTTGTTCACGAAAAAAGGCAGAATACCGTTGTTAGTAACCCTTTTTGGCCGGTTTCCCAGATTTAGCCAGTATCTCGTCTTTTTTTTAATTAATTCGGTCAAAATATTGGGACTTTTATGAATATTACGTTATTTTTAACAAATAATCAATATTACTTTTCCGAACATTACCTTCCGACTAATGTATATTATTATTAATACATCATTTATAAACATAACAGTTGATCATCATTGTTGCCCCCTCTCTTTTCTAGATATCATATCATTCTTACTTTACCTTAGACTTTACAATGGAAGACGTATCCAAACCTCAAGCCATCACCAAGGAGCCTTACAGTATTGCAAACATTTGTGCTTCGATCTCTCTTATCCTAGATTTTATCGTATGAACTATCATGCTTGGAGGGAACTTTTCGAAACCCATTTTTATGGTTTCCGTGTTGTTGATCATCTCAAATAACACAAAGATTCGGCCTCTTCAAACATGGACATGTGAACGAATTGACAACATTGTCAAGATGTGGATTTATAGCAACCTTTCCCTATCTCTTCTTCAAATGTCTTTGAAAAAGAAAGCAAATGCATTTGTTTTGTTGACTCAACTCGAAAACCTTTTTTGTCCAAATAAGGAATCGAAAGCTATATAATTAGACAATGAACTGCATAACATTGTCATTGAAGAATCTTCAATTACCGAGTATTGTACCAAAATTAAGACCACTGTTGAACTGCTTGATGTTGGGATTTATTTAAAATTTTGGTTTCTAAAACGACAAATTGGCAAAGGAAGCATTATAAGATTGAATCATAAAACTATTTTATTCCCACAAATGATCATTTTGAATGTACAGAAAGACTGAAAGATTATCTCAACCATAAATAACATGTGAAGCCTTTGATTCCTCAAGGAGAGGTTAGAAGTTGATAGAGTGATAGCACGAGAACAAAAGAGAACTCCTCTAGAAGTATCCGTCAACAATTTCCAAATTGACTTGAATCCTAGTCCTTCTTGCAAAATAATGCGGTAACCATTTACGAGAAAAACACAACTTTTGTCTTAAAGTAAAGTATCAAGTATCATCTTCATTTCCAAGTAACTTAACTAAGTAACATGAGAGAGAGAGAGAGAGAGAGAGAGAGAGAGAGAGAGAGAGAGAGAGAGAGAGAGAGAGAGAGCTCGGTTTTGGCTAGTAAAAAAGAGAAGAAAGGCTTGCAAGGTCTCATGAACCTTCATCTAAAGACCTTTTATACCCCATGTTTCATTATCACATCAATCCATGTTTCTAAAGCATGGCTAATGATATAAAATAAGCAAAGAATAAGATTTTGTCCCTTCTTTAAGGTAGTCATTTTTTATATAAAAGAAATAATGATTTTTATAAAATTCTTTCAACTTTTATATTTATAAAACCATGAGATCTTAGCTAAAAGACAAACGACCTTTAAGTCTAAAAAGATGTACATGACTTTATATATCGTATCTTATGATATAAACCACGATACTTTCATTGGAATAATATTATTTTTTCAAAATAAACAATTTCTAGTTAATTGCAAAAATTATAATTACTTATCAAGAATTAAATTCTTATAAATAATATATTTATGTAAAATTGTTATTGGTGTGACCCTATATGATCCTATATTATTAGTAATATCATTCTAAAATGGTTCTTGAGCATATAGATCCAACAATTTCCCACTTGCATAAGATCCATTATAGATTGATATAAACAGTGGTGAATGTCTACCAACATTTCACTTCCCCTAACAACATATAAGGAAGTGTCATTCAACAACATCCAATTCCCCAAAAGCTCAAAACTTTAATTGATGTATATAGTAAGTTATTAAATTGATGTATATAGTAAGTTATTAGTTATCCATTTGTCACAAACATGATGTTGAACATAAGATATTGTTCGCAATCAATCTCATTTAATGTTAAAAATTTAGTAAGGCGCCTTAATTGTCTAACTCTTAACACATAAGAGGAACAAATCCTATCTTGACTACATACGCCTCTTGTATAGTTCATACCATACCTAATGATGACCTTTATAACTATCTGGTTAAAGAACAACATTTAACCACATCAAAGTATAACATTCCCCATACTCAAGTCCCAAATATGTATCTCAATTTTAAGAATACAAAGATATTACCTTTATCAAGTATCATTCATGATAACAATCCATGAATTGATCTTGAACTGGGTCATGTCCAACACCTGTTCTCTGACAAGTATCTATGAACTTGGCTGCAACGCTTTGCCTACTTTCATCTTATGAAAGTCAACCAATCAAATTCATATTAGTGTTAACTCATAGTTGTTCCCCAACTATTATTGGCTATGGAATTTTAGAATAATTAGATTATTCATGAATTAAACATGTTAGTATAGAACACGACAAATATTAATGAAAAGATCATTTCTCAATATATCAAAACAATACAATAATTGTTACAACGTTTCAATATTAAAATACTAAATTCAAATAAAATCTCATTACTAAAATAACAAAAGTCCTATAGCTCAAGCACGACCCTTCGTTCTTATCTTATCGAAGGGCTTCTGTAACATCCGTGTTCCAGGTAATTTTCAATTTCAGCTTAAAGTTTAAAAAAGTTGTATTTTGGTCCATACGCAGGACGTACCTCATAGGTACGCCATGCGTAACTCATTAAATGGGTGACGAGAATCCTTTGAGTACGTAGGGAGTACTCCAGTGGTACGCATGACGTACTCACGTAGGTCCCAAACCCTAATTTTTAAGTTTTGGACCCTATTTAAAGAACCTTAAGCCTTTAGACCCTCCTTACATTCAGCCTCCACTCCTTCATTCCCTCATTTCGAAACCCTAACCCTTGAAAGCTTGATTTGGACCTCTAGAGTGATTTTGGTGCATTTTAGAAGAAGAAGGAGTTCATTATTGGTGTTTGGTGGGCTTAGAGCTTGTTGATCCAGAGTCTCCTTTCCATTTTCAAGCTTCTGGAGGTATAAATCTCACACCTTTATGGTTATTTGGTTTAGATTTAGACTAGGGTTTACTTTTGCATAAATTTTGGTCTCATAGGTTGTTTCTTGTGAGTAAAAGCTACCACAGGACTCAAGTTTGCTACTTTATGATGTTTTTAAGAATTTTGAGTCATAAAAAGGAAGTCCTTGTTGTTATTTCTCACTCATGAAAGAGTTGGAGGTTATTTACGGGTGTTATGGACTTAGGGTTTGGTGTTGGGCTCTATTAAGCCATGCAAAAGCTTAAAGTTGTCAACTTTATTGTAACACCCAGAATCCAGAAGACCAAGAAAGGAAAGAAAACCTTATTTCAAGAAGGCTACTCCTCGAGTCCAGGGAGGAACTCGGCGAGTAGAGGTGGATTTTGGGTCGCGGGTTAAGTGACCTACTCGACAAGTTGGGGAACCAAATCGACGAGTAGGTCTGGGTTTGGGAAACCCTAATTTCGGGCTTATATACCCTAGTTAAGCATATCATTCTCTACCCATTGGCCTTACTTACAGCCTACATTGCCCCA